TATAATATATATATATATATATATATATATATATATATATATATAATACATACACATATAATACATATATATAATATATATATATATAGTACATACATGTATATATAATGCATATATATATAATACATATATATATAATGCACATATATATATGTATAAAATACATATATATATGTATATATAATGTATATATATATATATATATAATGCATATATATATATATATATATATATATATATATATAATGCATATATATATATATATATATATATATATATATATATCACACATTGTGAAATGGACAAATTCTGACAATTATTTTAAGACATTTTGTGTTTATACATTCCTTTTAGAGATACAAATATTCAAGTAAATGCTCTGCCCATAAAAACACAGCACTAAACAACATTTACCGGCCTGAATGTCCGAGAAATTTTTCATATAAATTATCCTGTCGGAGGACGAATATTTTGAATATTTTCTATGAAAATTTCTGATAGAATAAAGAACAAGTGGGAAAATGATGTTTCCCTTTATTAAAGCTTCGTCAGAGATCAAGATAGGATAAAGAACAAGAAAATCTATCATATATATATATATATATATATATATATATATATATATATATATATATATATATATATATACGTTCTAACTGCTATTTCATGCTTAAACAAAATGGCATGAAACTGCATTTAATATGAAATAGGGTGTTACCGATCGGTATTTTCCCCATTCTCCAGTTGATATATATATATATATATATATATATATATATATATATCTAATGCATTAATGTTCTCCCTGCACACGTATATTGTTATACGTGTAATTAATTTAATAAGCTTATTTTACCTTGAGGCTACAATAATAGGGTAGCATGTAAGAGGCAAACAAGCTTACTAAATTGAAACCGATGTCCCCATTTAGAATTGATTTCATTTAAATCGATAATCATATTTAGCGTTTATAATAATAAATTGCCTGCAGACTATCTTCGCAAATTATTGGAAATGCCTGTCCTTAATATATGTTTAACTGACGTGGCCATCGACTCAGTAACGGAAACAAATCTTCATTAAAATCTACATTAAGTTTTGATGAAACTTTAACCGTTACATAAAAATGCAAAATGAAAAGAAATTTGCAACCTTTTTAAATCACATATATTTTTGTAGGAATAATCTGAATAAAATAATATAACTTTGCTTTTCCAGAAAGTATTTGAGTGAAACTTAATAGATTCGTTTGGAATGAGAATTTACCCTCCCCGTTTCATTAGCCATGCCGATGAGGATTGCGCTACACTAGTATCTTTAAATATTGTTCAAATGGACAGCGAAGTAAGTTACTTTAAAAAGAAATAATCAAAATTAACATTTATTTATAATTTTAAAACCTAGATAAAATAAGTTATTAGCAATGATTCTCTATAAGAAGATATCATTGTGATTGTCAAAAACTTATTTTGTCGCAGGAAACTTATGCACAATTTGTACTCTATAAAGGTGCTTAGCACTGATGGTCGACTAATGCTATAAAAACGAAAATACGTATGTTGAAGATTCGAACAGGCTCAGCTCCTAATGTCTGATAACAAATATTTTCTGTATGACTCAGTAAGTTCAACACACTTAGATTAGTATTCAGTTATCAGTGAGGAAAAGAATGAAAGAAAAATGAGTTTAACGGCCGTTTTATTGAAATCGAAACAGTTTTCAATTTCAGATATTTTCATTTGTTCCAACTTTTTATAATAACGACAAGCATTCATATTTATGACCGATATTGCAATATTTAGTAAAATTTGTTAAGGCAGATAATTAACACTGACATAGGGGAATCTACGGATATTTTATTGCTGTGGAACTCGCCATATACTTATTCACTCCCTAACTTAAAAAATAAATTCAACAGAAAATCCAAATAGGAAAACCAAATACCAGGTATCTTACTTTTCTCTGATGGCTTCTCGTTGGATAACGGTAAAACAGAAACGCTTGAAATCAATTTCATAAAATAAATGTTTTCTTGTTGGCTTTTTACAGGCTGTAATTATATCTATCTTTCGGTGAGGTCGTTTTTTAAAACCATGAAAATGATAGTTTCTCGTTCATTTGTTCCACAATGAGTTAATTTCTACGGATATTGTATTTTCTTAGAACTCGCCATGAGCTTATTCGGCCATTTGCTGTAGAATTAAGTAAGACTCATCAGAAAATTCAAATACGAAAATTGTGAAATGTTCACGTGTCTTTCTAGTGAAGTTAATTACTGCTGTTGACAAGACATATATACCTTAAATATTTGTCTGCATAAATCATTCAGGATAATAATAATACATATATATATATATATATATATATATATATATATATATATGTCCGAAAACCATACGATTCCTCAACGAATAAATGACAACGCATCCTACTCCACAAAAAGCAGAAGAATGGAAGCTTCAGAAAGTAGTCCCATGTCATGAGAATTGGCTCAGTGAAATTTAATATTTTTCATGGATAGCGTTAGAACGTAACGTAGCTTCCCGGTTTACTTTCTATAGGTATTTTCACGGGAAATTTTCTGACGAAATTTCCCCTTTGGTATCTAGATTTTAACAATATAAACGCAGTACAAAATTAGCAGCTAGATCTTATTGATTTACAGTTGAAATTGCTAAATGCAACCGTAAGTTCTATGGTAACAACTTCCTTTTTCGCACTTCTCACTTGTGGGACACTCTTCTCGCTTTCCAGTCAACTTTCATCTTAACAAATTGAAATGCAGTATCAATCGTTTTATTAAATCTTTTTAATTCCTGTTCTTTTATTGTTCTCTCTCCTAAATAATGTTTCCGTTTTTAAAAAAAATCTAACACGTCAGTTATGTAACTAAAGATACACGATGGACCAAGCGTGTATCATGTGTAGCATTTAACAGACTGATTGAGAGATAGTTGATGGATTCTATATTTAAACTTATATGTTATCATATTATGTATCATTTCTAGTTGAGTCCTTTATTTATATGTGCTTTTGTTTATTTATGATGTGGGGATGATGTAATAAGAGTTCGCAAGGAGAAATAAGAGAGCCGTGTTTGAATTCCAGTCAGGTTCTTTAGAATCATTTAGGCGAAAATACACCTGCAAAAGTTATTAATTCCCAGTTATGTTAGGACATGAATTTGAAAAAAATCTTTGTTATTCTATTTTAAAATTTGTTAAAGAAATATACACTTTCAAAAAAGATATATTATTACAATATAAAATAAGTTTCGGTTTTAAATAAGCCAGAGGGTTGATAAACTATGAAAAAGCAAATCAAGGAATTGTATATCTGACAGTGTGTCTTTGATCTTAACACACAAAAGCAGAGAAATAGAGTATTCTGAATTCCTTGATCGCAGTCAAGATCAACAAATTATCAGGACGTAGACGATCAAGGTTCTTCACGGATTCACTGGCAAAATCTCTTGAGAAAAATAGCTGGGTTTTTCCACTTGTATTCTCTGTGGTTTGGGAATATAGAAGATTCCTTCTTATAGCTCTTATCAAAGGCTACAGAACTCATATATAGCTCTTATCAAAGACTACAGAACTCATATATAGCTCTTATCAAAGGCTACAGAACTCATATATAGCTCTTATCAAAGGCTACATACCTCAAACTATCGTACTATTTATCCCAATACTTGGGAATAATAGATGTATACAATCGTGCAAAAGTGTACGCAGTAGACTAGGCTGGGATTCGAAATCGGTTCAGCGATTCCCCATGCTGCGCCGTTATAAATTATGCTTCTGCTCACAAAATTATATTATGTCTAAATCGTTTCTATTAAATTATCAATTTTATTGTAATAAAGATTTTAAGAATGGAAAATGCCATATATCATTTAAAGTCACCCCAAATCACTCCAAATCAGTAACAATTAAAATGTTTAGACCATGTAAGTCAAAGAGAAAATAATGACATAATTAAGATGATGACCTACACAAAGTTAAACAAAAGTTTAGGAATTTGGTTGCTTAGTTGATAATTTTAGCCGCATATCAACTTCTATGGATTATTTAATGCCGAAATTTCAATACATGAACACAATTTAATGGCTTCAACTAAATAAATTTTGAAAGAAATTGTATGCCTTCAAATACAGATAAAATATATTGTAATTTTAGCATAAATATGTATTGATGAAATTTTTATGTAAAAATTAATTTCTGGTATTTTTACTATAAAAAAGGTATTTTTATACTTTCATTGTATTTTGCTTTTTTTTTGTCAGGGGTTTTTACTATTTATCCATAGCTGGGTCTCTAACAAGTACTTCCATTTCTGGTCAAGGTGGACTTGGGAACAATAGCAATTATAAAGCTGTTCTAGACTCCTCTAACTCTCCTGATCAAAGGCCTTGTTGCCCGATGTAGTTTATCGCCATATCTACGACTATGTTAGGAAGTAAAGCAAATTTGTTCTAGATAGAGCGGCTACAGTCACTGAAATTGAGAAACTTGAACTGATTTTATAAATTTCAACCGCCAGAAACAGTAACTCTTCAGTCAATGAATACTGAATGTTTTCAACATGGAAACGTCTTATGCTACCAATGCTGTTAATATTATATCCTGAATACATAAATAAATTATGAAAAAAAAATGATTTAAGTTTTAAACTATTATAATCGCATATTTGAATCTTCATTATTGTTCTCTTTCATAGGAATTGGTCGACTACATGAATCTATATTCCCAATTATTATGCTTTCCGTAGACTTTCAGTGCAATCTATTAATGGTTTATTCTTTTATACTGCAAATATACACCGAAAGACGATACCAAGTTATTCAACACGCATAGAATTCCTGTTCACTATTTATATCTCTTCCTTCATCTCTCGCTCTCATCCAGTTACTATTTTTTACTTTGTTTCCCACTAGCGTCACAAATGATTAGAAAAATGAAGTCAGTTTCTATTTTCCCGCCAATTTCAATTAGTGTGTGATGCAGCAGTGTTGGCTTCTTGCCGCGCCAAATTTCAATACGACGCTTTCTTCTCTCCGCCTCTTCTGCCCCAAATTGGACAAGAAGCGACTCGTTTCGTCTTTAGATGAGCGGCTTTGTTATGAAAATTGTTGTTTGAAGATGGGCATTGGTGGTGTTAAGGAATTTTGTCTTCTTGTTTTCTCCAGGAATCTACTATCATTTTTCTCCTGTTTATTTTCGCGAATTTTGTTTCGTTGTCTTTCATCCTTTCTCACCTTATACGATTCTCCCGTCTGTCTGTTATTCCTTTCCGCTTTCCATCTATTTTTGTTAATTAAAATCTTCTTTTTCTGTCCTTCCTTCTCCATTTCTTTCTTTCCTTTATTTCCCATTACTTTCTTTTCTTTCCAATGTCTGTATTTTACAGAGTCGTTCATCCTTCGGCCTTTTCTGTTTTCCTTAATGCATTATTCCCTTGTCTTTGTCCACGCATTTATGTATGTTTCATTTTTTTTTATCTCCACATTCTTTGTTCTGTCTTTTGTTCATCTGTAAAACGTAGCTTTATTGATTCATCAGTCATATCTTTTATGTTGTAATTCCTTAACATATTATATTTCAATTGAGTCATAATCGCATAGAAACTTGTACTCGGTTATGTCGTTTTTCCTTCAGTATGTTTCTTTAAGATCAGTAATTTTACTAGAAAACTACACGATTTGATTAGATTAACAGAAGTGAACTGAGAAATTTTGCCACTCAAAGCGTGGCTGTCATCAGGTCTGTCTGCATGAGGCTAGGAATACGTGGATATATTTATACACAAACAAACGCAACGAAATAAGCCGCTGCACCGTTATACCTGATTTATCACGACATCGCCTTGGGATAATCTTGTGAAAATATCGTAGCATGCAAATGAAGGCAGGAAAATCAGTTCAGGTATTTGAGATAGAAAAAGGGAAACAAATTTGTACAAGCTTTCAACAAGTATTCAAATAATGTCAATGGCAAATTATACAGCCTATGTATTGAATGATTATTTATATATATATATATATATATCAAAGTATATAATTGGTATATACGGAATGAATTCCAATAACCAACAATTACTATTCTTAAAAGAGTGCTCAATACAAAGTAGAGCAGATATAATTATTTTTTATAAAAAATTATAACATAAGTATGTTATAAGATCACTACAAAAATAGCCATTTTGTTTCAACACATTCTGTGTCTTCACAGAATGTGTTGAAACAAAAAATATATATATATATATATATATATATATATATATATATATATATATATATATATATTAATGCATATTCCATATTGACAATATGAAAGGAACTTAAAATAAATAGACAAAAATGGTCTATATTATTTCGAAACATGCATTAATGTAAATTGCTGCCTAAATATACACAATATATATATATATATATATATATATATATATATATATATATATATATATATATATATATATATATATATATATAAAAATTAGGATTGGTCTATACAGAATAAATTCCCAAAACAAATATATACTATTCTTAAAAGAGTGCTCAATACAGAGTAGAGCAAATATAATCATTTATTCGAAAATTATAAGATAAAAATGCTATAAAATCACTATAAAAATAGTCATCACCATCACTTGATAAGACACCAGAAGTGTTGAAACAAAATGTCTGTTTGTAGCGATTTTATAATTTTTTTATGTTATAATTTTCGAATAAATGATTATATATGTATATACACATATATATATATATATATATATATATATATATATATATATATAGTTTTAAGCTATGTTATATTTATCGGTTCAAGTTCTCAATAACAGAGATAAAGCGTTTTGTGACACGTGTAGGCGAATACATGATTGACGTGGCAGTAGGTTGCCATTTCTTTCTGCGGTAGATCAGTTGCTATCCAAGGCTATAGCCACTATATATTTTCTGCTATTTACTTCATAGCGGGTGGGGAGAAGAAGGGTATTCATATATTTCACAAACATGGATAATAGCTGGCTTGTCTTATTTGATAATACTCGTTCAGGCATATTTGTGCTTTTGTTCAATACCCACAGTGTCAACCTTTGGTTTATACTGCCACTATACTGAGCAGACCTTAGTTACAGTTTCTGGGAGAGAGCGTGTTATCTACCGTGATCAACGATCTGAACAAGGCCAGCACAATCAAACCCTCGGTCCGATGACTTATGACTCCATGCTAGCACAGTTATCGACAGACCCAAAGGTTTCCGTCTACCAAACTCCAGTCACAAGGCTTGGGTTAACCAGTGGTATGTTTTTTCAGGCACTTTCCAAAGCTGCCGCATGCTGGGATCGCCCCACCTTCAGGCCGATAACATCAGAATGTTTACATATATATTTACGTGTGTGTGTATATATAGGTGTGTGTCCCTCTGTGTGTTTGTGTGTGAGTATGTTTGCGTTAGAAATGGCTAGTTTTATAATTTTGGTTCTAAAATCGGATCTATCCCAAGCTTTTTTTTTATTAATGTTGCCGTCTCGAATGTGATATTATTATGGAGTTCTGTCACACGTGTTACGACGTCGTTGAAAAAGTGGCTTTAAGACTAAAAATGTGGCTACAGTTCCCAAGAAAAAAACAAACTAAGATTAAATTTCTGCTAACAATCTTCTTGTATACTGAACTCGTAAAATATTTGCCTATCCCAATACATATACATACATGTTGATTGCTCATCTTACCATCTTGCCCATCAGCACCTACATTCAATCTAAATCTAAATCATTGTTTCCTCTCGAATGACTTCGAAGGTGGATCTTCAAACTAGTAGCTGATTTGCAAGGCCTGTAGCATAGATGACAGTTGTGCTCCCGAGTCTTCGCAGGGTTAAGTGGATGTTCCTGCTGTAGGTCAAGCTTGTGGACTATAATATGGCTCTTCAATCCAGATTTCGATTCACATACATCCCTGCATATCACACATGCAGTATCACCGGCTCGTGGAGGTAACACATAGTGAGGTCGTCTCTCATGTGATTTCACATTATTAACATACCCAAAGCTTTGACAGTAACATACGACGACATATCTCGCATTCCCGGTTTTCAGTGCTGTCATCCAAGCTCCTGGAATAACTTCCCTCTAATCATTTTTTTCAGTGCTGCATGTGCTAAATTCTTTTCTTCTGCTGACATACATCCTTCTAGAAAAGCCCTGCGCCACTTATTGCGATCACTAAGTCGACAGAGTTTCTTTGTCACCAGAGCTATTCTCCGTTCTGGTGTGACAGATTTTAAGATCAAGCAGCTTTATAAATTCCAACATCCTATATTCAGTGATATGAGCTACATGGCATATCATTTAAGTATTGAACAGCTGCCAACTGCAGTAAACTGACCAACTTGAAATGATAAGCAATTTTTGATGCAACTTTTCTAGAATCCTCCCGATAACTCCGAGTCTGTAGTGCTGTCAAGGAAGTTTTTTTTTTTTTTAACTGAATGTCAATCACACAACCAATGAATGCAGCGTTGTAGGTTGGTGGGGGGTTAACTGCAGGTCTGGACATGCCATTGATGGTCATACTCGCTTTGTGCGTCAACATCCATTATATATATATATATATATATATATATATATATATATATATATATATATATATATATATATATATATATCCGAATGTCCAGGCATCAACTTAACACATGAAGAATCCTTCATCATACTGCTATCAACAAGAACTAGTTTCTCACTGTCACCCTATTGCTTTTTCTATCTTTTCTTTACCCTTATAAAATATATATATTCCCCACTTAAAATGTTTTTTTCAAACAAATAGAAAAAAGGATGTGACATTCCATGAGCGGCCTGCTTACACACAGAATGTTTTACGAACATTTTTATTTTCACCAGTAGAGGTGCAACTAAATGCACCGAAACATGGTTGAAAGTTTGTAGTGAGTACATTCAACTATAGTTTATATATATATATATATATATATATATATATATAGAGAGAGAGAGAGAGAGAGAGAGTGGAAGAAGAGAGAAAAATAACGGCTATATTTTGAAATAAGTGTTCTCAATATTTTTAATCCGACAAAATTGAGATTAAAAACATTGAGATTTGTTCTTTTTGTTTTATTGTTTTTTTTAATGTGTGGATCGCTTTGAGGACATTTAAGCAACCATTGTTAAATGTGCACATTGAAACAAAACCAAATGTTTGGCTGAATCGATCAAATTTGAAATTGAATAAGCACTCAGTTACACAGATTTCTCAATTTACGATTTTTAGTCGAAAGCATAGTTAAAAAGCAGACGCAGGTTTGCTCATGATCTTTGAACAATTACCTTGAGTTTTGAATGGTTAGAATATTTGATGCCGAAAACGAAAATGCTAAATAAAAATTCTCCGGAAGGATAGTGTCTGTCTTTCAACACATTAAGGATTCATAAATACCTGATTGAGACCAAGTTCACTTTACACTGGTGTTATCTAAATTAGCTTAAAAACCCCTAAGACTTTGTGCTTTCTTAAATATCGAACTGGCTTTATTAAATCTTGATTTCCATTATAAGGCAGGTGGCCAATGGCTGGTAATTTTTCGAAATGCGTGCCTGTTCTATTCTTAATGAATTTTATCACAGTGCGAAGTTTGAAAACTGTGTTTTCATTCAATGTGTTTTTTTAGTAGTAGACGTTATAAAGAATTTGAAGTAACAATGTTCGGTTCTCACGTACAAGTTTTGACTCTAGTAAATATACCGTCAGCGATTCTGCTAACGTTGTTTTAAAATTGTGAACGATCTATCTTCTTATCTGTGTATATTTGATTATCAAAAACCTTGCGGGCATGCTTTCTCTAAATAGAGAGATTATCGCTACAAATGTTTATAAGGAATCGTTGCCGTCATTGATTCGTGGCTAATTTCAATTGAGCAGAAACTGTTCATTTTCTGAAATACGTCTAACTCGACTGAAAACGAAAGGTATTTTAGACCTGGTTTAGTTATTCTTGATAGGATATTTCAATAAAGAGACAGAAAACTAGCTAAGGGATAATGATGCCATCTAATATCTAATATATTTTAAAACAGCATTGCTCTAATTGTACATTAGTCATGTCGCATGTTTTACATTATAGTGCCATTAGAATATTGGGATTGACAGAGAAAACATATCGTGAGGAAGTTGACGAACCCGAGAACCTTAACGAAATACAGTAAGTGTTTAAAATATTTAAAATCGATCATTGTTTTCCAAGAGATCAAGCCTGAAAAAAACTGTAATTGCCTGATACAAAAGAAACAGTTGTTTTTTTTTCACGTATGGTAGCCGTTAATAATTACAACCCAAGACTTCAATTTTAAAACAGTATTTAATTACAACCGCAAATAAATACATAAAGATGCAAAAATCAACCAAAGATAATTAACCATTTCAGTTAATACCTTGTTAGTAGCGCTGCTCGCATTAACGCCCGGTAAATTCTAAATCAAAACCCAAATCATCTATGCAAAATATTTCACACTAATTCGACT